ATCAGTGGTAGATCAGTGGTTAAATTTGAATTTGAATGTTAGATATCAAGCTTTCAAGGCTGAGAAGTGCATCACTCGATCATCATTCCGCAGCACCCCTAACACCGCGCCAACTAACCAAGGCTGGGCGTCTAGGCGCATAGATAGGTCAAAAGTGAAGCCGGTCAGGCAACACATCCAAATTTCAAATCATAGCGTGCCGGCGCCTACAACCCAACACTGGCCACGCGCCTTGTCATTTCATTGAAAATTTACATTGAGCAGCTTGTTATTTACACACGAGTCCCTTTTTCAGCCGACGAGGGGGATCCGTTACTTCTTACCAGCCTTCTTCGCAGCCGTACGCAACCTGGTGATCTGCTTCTTCCATCCGTAGCACTGGTTGCATCCTGAAGCGAAAAAGATAAGTCAACATACGGTTCTGCAGAGATGAGAGTGAAAGGGGCAGAAGGGAGAAGCTCCGTTTCCGACTCGGGTCTGATGTCGATCCGTGGACTCTACAGCCCTATTCATGTAGGTTGACACAAACCACCCCGGGCCGGAAATAACAAGCAAGACGACATAAGAATATAGCAGGTGACATACCAGTTGCTGCGTGCTTCTTGCACTGGTACACTCCATCCTTGGTGAGGGTAGCTGCGGGCGCTTCGATACCATCTCTGTCGATGGGATCAAACTGGCACACGTTCAAGGATGATCAGGACGTGATATCGCACGATCAAAGGATCTCACACGCACCCCAAAGAAAGCATCGTTATCCTCCCGTCCGTCGTACCCACACTCTTCGCACTACAAGGAAGAGATCCGATTTTAGCTAGGCTCATCGTGAAGAGGCCTAAACGTGATACTCACAACTTCCTTGAAATGAGTGCAGAAGTAGGCATCGTTGAGCTCAATGGTAGCGGGGGCCTGAGTCTCAGCCATGGCGAATCAGTGGGGTAGTTGAGGAGGATTCGAGGAGGATATGAAGCTTGTTGAAGTTGAAAATAAGAGAAAGACGACAAGTCTTCTCAGTCAGTTAATGATGGTGGGGGGTAAGGAACGGTAAAGGGACTAGAACGCTCTTTATATGTGGGAATGTCTGAGCTAGAATTCGAGGTCTCGTGCCACCCAAACTGACTTCGAGGCCGACCGAGAATGAACGTTGCGGGGTAAAGTGTGGGGTAAAGTCGCCGGTGATCGCCGAGATTCTCATCACGAGGTTGGTTCAAATTCCGCGATAAGATGGGATCTCTTATCTTATCTATTTGAGTTCAGCGCTCTGGCACCTTCTGGCACCTTGCTTCCTGCACTCATCACCATCCTCCTTCTAAGCTCTTTTCGCAATTCCTACGTGACTTGTGCTCATCAAACGCTATAAAAACTCTTGAAATAAGTCTCAGATACCAGAAATAAACAAAATCACAAGAGCTAGACGTGGTAGGGGTCATGACGCTACGTCCGCAGAGGACGAATCGAAGAACGGAGCTATAGTGTAGACGAAGGTCGAGAACAGCAAGCCTCTCGATTTCAAGACGCCACCAGACGTCATCTCTAGGCTGTGTGCTCCTTGTGCGGAAGTTCCTAGTACGCATTTCGCCCCTGCTGCAAGCATATTCTTCAGTCGAAGAAGCATGGCGTAACCCCCCAACAAATCTAGAACTACCTTCCTCGACATCCATCGTCCGGCGCCAGGCACAGGTGGTGCGTTGTCAACTTAGAGGCCACTAAAGACCATCCAGCGGTCAATGATCTAATGCTAGGAAGCTTTCCAAACACATTCTGCGCGGTAAGAGCGTTCCGATTGCCATGCTTGGCCGCATCTTCCAGGCGCTTGGACGTCATTATTGATATTGCCTTGTTGGAAGCTCCAGGGACCATTCCAAATTTCGGGAAGAACGAAGGAATCCCGGAGGGGTATTGAACCTACTGCCTTCATCTGCTGGCGAACGAGCGCGAAACCTGGCAGAACACTCAGCCATAGATAACAACTCTCGTAAACTCGACCCATCATTCAAATTACCCCACACATTATGTGAATTCGCAACAAGATTATTCCAACTCAAAACTCCGGATGGTACTTGGCACGAATCAATTTCCAGAAGAAGTACAGAACTAGAGCGACAGAGGAGGACAGAGGCAAGGCAAAACTATCTCAATGCCTCCGTAGACAGGTCTCCAAGGTATCCGGTGGCCCCTCGATCGGGTATATATACCCGGGGATGCAACGAAAGGATCTTCGGGGAGAGTCAAGATTGACTCCTCGTGGCCCGGAAATCGGAAACTGATAACAATTTGTCACCTTTCCCCCCTCCGATCAGATATAAAGCGCGTCAAATCCAGATATTTTTTCCTCAACCTCTCCCTCTCCTTCATCTTCGGCGACGGCAGTCCATGGCTCTTCCACAAGAAAAAGACGTCGAGCGTGTCTCTCAAGTCGAGGATGAGAAGCGGTCGAACACCCCCACAAAACCTCAGGAGCCAGCTTACAATGAAGAACTCCTCGAGCCTCCGAAGGAGGAGTCTCTGCACCGCGGTCTCAAGGCTCGTCAAGTATCAATGATAGCGGTGCGCATCACTTCTCCCTGCGTTTTCGTGCACTCTCGCTCAACTGTTAGTCATTGCCCTGCCCAGCTCGGAGGCGCAGTCGGTACCGGGCTCATCATTGGTTCTGGTACCGCCTTGCAACGCGGAGGACCGTTGGGCATTTTCTTGGGCTACTCTTTTGTCGGATTTATCTGCTACCTCGTAATGGCAGCCCTCGGTGAGATGGCCGCGTTCCTCCCGCACAAAAAAGGGTTTGCCGGGTACGCAACACGGTTTGTGGATCCTGCCATGGGATTTGCCATGGGCTGGAACTATCTATTGAAATACGTATGTGCTTCGCGATATCCGTGTCTAGCCTTCGTCATCACTCACGATCTTCTTCGACTAGCTCATCGTCACCCCGAACAACATCAATGCGGCAGGAGTCGTCATACAATACTGGACTAGGTCCGTCCATATCGCCGTGTGGATGGGTGCGTCTTCTCGCTTCCCCGTATTCATAAAATTGAACTGACATTACCCTGCTCCACCTCCATCCTCCGCACCGCAGTCATTTTTATCGCCTTCAGTAAGTCATATATCCGCTCCGGCTGCGAGAACGCAATCTGACAATCTCCGGTACCCTAGTATTCATTGTGAACCTTCTTGGCGTCCGGGTGTTCGGTGAACTTGAGTTCTGGTTTTCCAGTATCAAAGGTATGTCCCTTCAAGTTCCGACTCTCTCCCAAACGGAGAATCGCTCACATTTGCCCCCTAGTCATCGCGCTCATAGGTCTCCTATTGATGGGGATCATAATCGATCTCGGTGAGTCGCGCTGGTAGCAGGCATGACATCAAATGCCTCAAAATGCCTCATCTCCTTACTTACTCCCCCCGTAGGTGGAAACCCTAAACACGACCGAATCGGATTCCGATACTGGAATCCCCCTTATGGACCTATGGGGTCTTACCTCCTCAGTCAAGTAAAGGACGAGTCCGTCTCGACGTTCCTTGGTTTCTGGAGTACCCTAACAAATGCACTGTTCGCGTATATTGGAACTGAGCTGATTGGTGTTACTGTTGGAGAGGTATGTCGACTCGATGTTTCTGTCCATTTTGTTCGATACACGATCAACCCTCCAGGCTGAAAACCCTCGGCACAATATTCCAAAGGCTATCCGACAAACATTCTTCCGTATCTTGGTTTTCTACGTCGGAGGAGTGTTTGTAATTGGCCTCGTCGTGCCTAGCACTGATCAATCACTCTTTTCTGCGACCAAATCCAAGGCTGGTGGTACGTCGTCCTCCACGTTTTTGTAGACTTGTCACTCATATTCGTTTACCCTGTTACAGCTGCTGCATCCCCCTTCGTCGTAGGTAAGCATGCTTTCCTCGTTTTCGTTCGCGTGAAAACTGGCTGACTCTATGTCCGCCAGCGACAACACTTGTCGGCATAAAAACCCTCAACCACGTCATCAACGCTGCGATCCTTCTCTTCGTGATGAGCGCTGCCAACTCTGATCTATACATCGGGAGTCGTACCCTCTACGGTCTCGCCGTCGAAGGCAAAGCGCCGAGAATATTCAGAAGGGTGAACAGAATGGGTGTCCCGTACCCATCGCTGATCCTGTGTACCGCGTTCTGCGGGTTGGTGTTTCTGAACACAGCGAGTTCTGGAGCAAAAGGTGAGGTTTCCTTATCCTCTATGTCCCTCTTCTGTAGAGGCTAATGCGCATTGGGCTTTTGCAGTGTTTACATGGTTCGTCGCGCTTGTGAGCACCTTTGGAGCTTTGACGTGGATGTGTATCGCGTTCTCTCACATGTATGTCTTCCTCTCGTGCTTCGTAACGGCCCCCTTTCGATTGACGTATCATCTCTGATCAGACGTTTCATGCGTGCTCTCGCCGCGCAAGGCATCCCACGCTCCTCCCTTCCATACGTAGCTCCCTTCCAACCTTGGGGTTCCTGGTTCGCCCTAATCGCCACCGGCATAATAACCATCTTCAAAGGTTTCGATACCTTTATACCCTGGACAGTAGACACCTTCGTCACATCCTACGTCGGTATACCAATTTTTGGAATTTTGTACATCGTGTACAAGTTTGCGAAGAAGACGAGGATGTGGGCGCCGGAAGAGGTGGATTTGGTTACGGGGATTAGGGAGATTGAGGAGGAGGAGGAGAAATATAAGGAGGGGGCGAGGGTTAAGAAAGCGTTATTGGAGCAGGAGGGGCCGAGGCCTTGGTGGAAGAGGGTTTGGGATTCGATATAAACCTTGTTTTGTTGATCTATCGCTCGATCTGGTGGTTTATTTTGTAATGTATCCGGACTTTGTGCATGTACGTTGACAGGGACGAAGAAAATTGCAACAAATGCAACTGTACAGAAGATTTGTGGGTGATGAGTAGGAAGATACCCTAGTGCTGTGTTATCGCTGATTGAGGGTAAAATACGACCTCTCGGCTCCGAGTTTGGAGAAGGGACGTGTGCAAAAATGGGGGTACCGCGGATCGAACGCGGGACCTTCAGAATGATATCGTAGCATGACCTAACACTCCAACTTCAGTCTGCTGCTCTCCCAGCTGAGCTATACCCCCATGGCATGTAATCAGAATTTCGACCTCTCCATGGAGAGGTCGATTGGGTACCAGAAAGGTCTCATGACTTCTTCGTACCAGCTTTCTATTCACCACCACCACTGTCAGCCATGATACGAAACGCCATCTTCTCATCAGCCCTCGATCTCAACTCATACCGGAGCCTTATGCAGATCCCCACCTCGTCCCAGTCTGCGATCAGGACTCTGCATACTCGAGCTATGAAATCCTTCATCATCCTTAGGGTTTGGCTCAGATCAATTATGTGCTAGGGCTTTGCAGGACTTACCCGAAGTAAGGTGGGACGGTGGATTTCTCGACTTGTACACCGAGGTTTTTCTCGTACACTCGGGCCTTGAGCTCAATTTCCGACAATGCCCCATCGGTACCGGGTGTTGGGAATATCCAACTTTCCTACGAGTCCATCGATGGCTAGTTACTAGTTCCCTTAAGCGGCTGCGACGGAACACTAGTGTCGGCAGTATCGTCCTTCCAGTACCGATTACATTGTGCTCGTTCGTCTTAGCTCCCGTAGGTTCTCACTTGCTGAAACATACCCACCCAGGGCACCTCTGTGAGTCCATATCTCTGTTAACCTTCGGGACCTGAACCTTAAACTCCGGGCTGCCCCTCCGACGCAGGGGTGAATCGACTCGAACCCGGTGCTTTGCCTTCTGCGCAGCAAATAACAAGAGATGCACCAGCGGAAGTCTGGGGACCTGGCCAGTGACTGACCAGGGCCAAAAGGTGCGACCAGGGTCCACAAGTCTAACGAGCCTGAGGATTGTCTGAAACAGCTTTCCTTTTCGGAAATACGCTCAAAGACTTGGGGACCCTGGCAATTCCCATTAGAATTATGTGTACCTGCAATATCACGTTAGAATAATACTTGCTCGTCAGTAACCGAAAAGCGTGTACGAGACTTGTCGAAGTCAATAAGATGCGGCTAGACTGGTCGGCGCGCATAAGATGCCGCAAGATTTATATGCCATGACGAGGAGAGCTCAGACTGAGCAACAATCATCAGACACTATTGGACTT